TTTTTATTTTTATTTTTTCTTGTTTGTTTTTGTTTTTGTAACATAGTTGATTTAGGCAAAAATGGCAACAAAATTATGTTTAACATTTGTCTACTTGGTTGTTCTTCCTCTTCGTCTTCTTCTTCGTGGTTGTTGTTGTCCTTGTCTTACACAATTTGTTTTTAGTAGATGTATAACTTTAGCTAACTAACAATTAATTTAAACATTTTTGTTTTTTCATTTCGTTTTTCATTTTTTTTTTGTAACTTATAATTGGCAATAAAGTGTTTGAATAAGCAAACATTTAACATTTAGCATACAATTTATCAATCTTCTTCTTCTTCATCGACAAACCAAAATTATAAATAAATAAACAATAAATAGCTATGATATAATGTATGTATAATATATATATATATTTATGATATATGTATATAAATGTATCTCTGCTTGTTTTTTACTTGTAAAGTTGTAGTGATTGTGGCCTGATTAAGTACATATGTTTATATTATTTATATAGCAGCGGCAGGGGCAGTCAATATATTGGAAAAACTGTGTTAGAACTGTAAGTGAAATTTCTGGCAAAAATGAATTTTCCGACCAATGAGGCTGAGATTACTATTGGTAACATATTAGAGGTAATAATTTGATGTATTGTGGATAAACAAACAACCAATATAGGATTCTCATGTTGCTTAAAAAAATAAAATAAAATAAATAAATCGAATAAATAATAAAGAAAATAATAAATGCAGTTCTGAACAATTTGATTAAAAAAACATAAATGAAACTTTAATAACAATTTTTCATTGTATTTAAATTATTCGCTAAAAATTATTGGCGGTAGTCTTGCGAAATTTTTTATTTATTTATTTATTTTTTTTTTTTTTAATCATAAATTTATAAATATCATTTAACATTTAACTTAGCAAACACGCTTGAACTTAAATAATATTTTTATTTGTTTGTATGTTAGTATAATATGGGCTTTTTTTTATTTAAAGAAAATTTACAACTGAAAATTATGTACATAAATAAAAAAAAATAAAATAAAACTAAATAATGATAAATAAAAGCTAAGCAAAAATGTAAAATATATAATAAATAATTATATATATTCATATATCCACTAGCAAAACAAATAAATAAAATAACCAATTTAAAAATATTATTACTTTGCTTTTTACCTGGTTAAAACACTGAAATCAGTTCCTGAAATAAAATACCAGATGTACTCATGTCACTCTATTAAAAATGTGTTCTTTCTTTTTTCTTTTTTGGCATTTAGTCAACCCACGTCATGTACCTTGATTAAAGTATTTTTCAAGCTTCACTTTTTTAATTTTCTTCCATTATCGTGACTACCCCTACCTAATGCGTAATATTCTCATTATGCTAGCTGGCAACTTAAAATATTTAAAGCCCCGTTTGAACTTATGCGTGTATTAGTGAGTGTTTGTATGTGTGTGTGAGTGTTAATGGCGCCTTTCTTTATAGCATAGGTATAATTAGGTAGTTGGGTTAGATTAGATTAGGTTTCACTTCCTCCTCTTCGTCGTGTGCTTCGTCTTCTTCCTTTTCGTTTAAAA